GCTCCCCCTTGAGATAGCAAATCATATCATATTACATACAATGAATTCACAATAAGAAAAACCCAAAAAAAAAAAAAAAAAAAAAAAAAAAGTAATATCAAGCAGGATTACAAACAACTTCACACTAAGCACCTAAGCCTTCATCTTGTAGGCTACTGACAAAGTATAATATATTTGTTCTTCACATCCATGATTGACATTTCTGTTTTCAGCTACTGTTTGAACATTCCTGGAGGCAGGGAGGGGGTTTGTGGCTGCCCACCTCCAGAGCTGAGTGTGGAGAGGCAGCCAACCTGATGTTGGCTTCCCTTCTGGACCTGGCAAACCTTATCCCCTGGACCACCCTCACAGCTCCCCCCGAGTGCATCTAGTCACAGGTTCACAGACTCACCCAGTGAACCAGAATAATGCTGGAGTCAAACCCACTTTGACACCAAAGAAGCCGGAAATGAAGTTTTCCAAGTTCCAGGCAAGTGTTCTGGTGTGTGTTTAGAGGCTGTTACAAGGGGGGAGAAAACAGAGTAACATCCATAAAGCCAAGCAAGCTCTTGTCTCCTTGCTACAGAACTACTCTGAAGACAGTTTAGACAGTTTAAGATTAATAGATATGCTCATTGTGAAGCCTTCAATCAGGCAGCTGGTTGGATCTAATTCTATGCCTAGCACAAGGTTAGCAGAAGGCATTTGAGAAATCACAGCTTCAGCTTAAGGTGTTTCATGGGCACTCTCTCCATCTGTGACCAGTGGAGAGAATTATGCCCCTTACATGAAGCTCTCCATCACTCTTACTAGCTTCCAGGAAGTCTTAAATTTCTCCATAGATTACACACATTACCTGGGCAAACATCCTCATTTTTAAATCAGTGGAGAGAGGAGTTTTGAACCGGCAAGTCTATCTTGACAGGTCTAAGTCCAGTCCCTCTTAGCTCCCACAGCCACGGTCAAAAAGCCATCTAAAATCCATTAATTTTAAATCTACTTGCCTCCATGTAATTGAAATGCAAATCTCAGCAAAGCATCTTGGCTAAACTAATGAGTTTCTATTTCAATCATGCAACGATGCCATTCTTACAGAACAATTTGTTTGACACAAAGCACGCAGGCTCTGGAGACCTCAAAATCTGCCAGCACTTATGCTTATGAATGATAAAATTGCCACATCAAAATGTGAGAAATTAATTGCCACTAACAGCAGGACTTGTCTGATGTACTCTGCATCTCGCAGAAGAACATGAATTGCTCATTTAATGGACTTTTACATGGAGCACAATTGTAGTAACACCTTCAAGACCTCAAATATTTGCAAGAGCCTCAATAAAAACCTACCAGGGCTGAAGCAATGTTTAGGACACCAGAGACTTGGTGACATGGAATAATTTTAAATGTTCTTTCCAGTCTAAACCGAACCAGAAACAGCAAATTACTTTGACTTTTAAACTAGTGACCCCAAAAAACTGAAGCATAAGAATCACTAAATATCAGCATTTCAAAGAGTTCACTGCAAATAAGAATAAAAAAGTCTGGCATATGCAATACATTTACAAATGTAATATATTATGTATAAATATGTAATATAAATACATGTATATGTACATTCACATAGTGATAATTGTGCATGCAGAATAATTAAATTTAATTTAAAAAAATAAACCACCAACTTGTGACAAAAAATATAAGGATGCTTGAGTAGTTCCTGTACAAAAGCCATAGCCCATTTGGATGTTGGATTGTTCTGTATTATCTATACAGTTACATATGATAGTCTTTTTCTTTTTTTTAAGGTCATCATCTAAAACGCTATTGGGAAATAATTTTCAAATTTGTGACACAGTAATAGAGACATAGGCAAAGAGGCACAACCCATGCTGATATTTAGAACATTACCTGGTGCCCACGAAAAGGATTTTGAAACCGAGGATGGAACGAGAGGAAGCTGAAGAAGAAGAAAAAGATGAGAAAACAACTGTTAAGATGCAGAAATCCTCAACTGAAAAACGAAGTGTATTGTTTAATAATGGGCTATCAGTTTTCAATAGCACATTTAGAAAGCACTGCAAATTTGTGTCCTAGAAGTGGGTTGTCTACTTGGCCTAATGCTGCATGGACACTTCTTGTGAAGACAGAGAAGGAGCAAAGAGGTAACAGCGGTCCTGACCTCCAGGAAACAACCTGCTGCGGCCACAGGGAGCTGGTGGGGGGAACTCTTACAGCACTGAAGAACAACAGACCAATGGAAATGCTGCCATAGGCTTCCCAGCTAACACCACCTGCGTTCAAAGAGAAACAGGACAGCTGTCAGTCTCTGACTTACGAGGTGCTCGCATCTCACAGCAGAAGTATGGCACATTCTTCAAGCTCTACTTCAAAACTTCTGGGACTTTGTTGACGTCTGAAAGGCAGGATATAGATCAAGGCAAATTCACCTGTGGCATAAGCCTATTTATTTCACTCGATTTAGATTAGATTTGAAATTGGTTCCTACTGGGATTTTAAATGATGATTAAATTTGAAATGTCACTATCAGCCTTCAGAAAAGTGAGATCTCTGGCAAGCGTGTACAGCCCATGGAAGGAAGTGGTGCTGAGCTACCTGGAGAGCAGCCATCCGTCTTCCTGAAAGAAAATCATTAAATTCTTCAACCAGAAGCTTATCAAGTTATGGGACTTTTAACAGAGCAGCTTTCTAGGTATCGTACTTTGTCTACCTGAGAGTAGTAGAAGTTGCCAGATTTCATTACAGCCGGGATAAGATGGTTGGACCTTGTGTCCAATGAGCTGTAGCAGCTGTATGATACCTGTAACATCCACTGCTCAAAGGAGTGCAGTAATTTCTCTCGTCAGGGCCATGCTGGCTGACAAATTCATGACACGGCTCCAGATGTTGGCAGACAGCTGCTCAGCAATGCTTAAGGTGGTATAAAATGTGCAGAGGTTCTTGTGGCTTGAACATCTTCTGCCCTCTTGTCAGCCTTTGTCCAGTCTCAGCCAGGTGGCTCTTGTCACGGCAGTGGTGCTCATCAGTGGCACAGGTGGAAAGGAAATACGGTGCTGACCTTATTTAGACAGTTGTTCCGCATGATCTGGACTGGAACAACCTTCTCTGCATTTTAAATGAGTCATTATTGGGGTGAGGAACATACTGAGGCCTGGTGGCTGTCACTCTTTACCCCCAACCTTGCCTGCAAACATGTTCTGTTTTACTGGCAAATGGAAGCAATGATAAAACTTTAAAAATTTGATAAAACTCCTAGCTTTACAATCCTGTTAAACCACTGCCCACCCTAGCCTTTTCTGGCAGGCAATATTGTAAGCTTGGTTTAAGCAACTCTTTTTCCAAAAATCAAAATTCATTGCCTCTCTTGTGTCAGCAGATGGTTATGTTTCCTTCCACTGATGACTAGAGGCTCTTTTGTGGGAACATATTTCTCCCGGGTGACGGCATTGTGGATTTGCAGTAGGCTCCGTATCTCACTACACGTGCCCGGTCTCACCTGCAGTGCAAATTAGGTGAGCGCTTAACAGTGACCCACCTTGCCCTGTCCATGAAGCTGAATGGTGCATGGCAGAGCTGCTTCATGTAATGGGGATTCAGATCTAAGCGTACTCACAACTTGCTTCCGAGCAGGAGCAGAGATGTTTCTCTTTCCTGAATGATACTTTAACCTTGCTGAATGCTGATCAATGGCAGCTTGGGTGCTTCCTTCTCCGGGTGCTGTGTTGCCAGTAAGGAAATGTTTTAGAGGCACAACTGCCCCAAAAGCCCCCCATTGCAAATTGGGGTGTCTGGGAAAGAACATGTGATGGGCAGGTGGGAACACTAGAGGGATGGCAGTAGAAGGGGAACCACTGATCCAACAACACTTGGGCAAATGAGTTTTCAAAACATATTTAGGGACTGACAAATAATAGGATCACTGTTTGGACTAGAGTTTTTAAAAAAATGCTTCAAAGTTGTTCCAGTTTCACTCTTTATAAAAATCAGAGCTTTCCCATGAACCGTGATAGGAGAGAAGTTTGAGGTCAGTGCTCAGTTCCTCTTGAAGCAGTCCAGCACCGATGTGTGACACACTGAAGTGATATTACTGCACTCAGAGTTATCTCTGCATCAAAGCAGAGATAAATTTATATCTGGAGACATATGCAACTTTCCAGGGCAGCAAGGAGATCAGTGGAAGAGTTAAAATCTAAGGCAATACAATTCTATATTATTTTGCTTAATTTAGAGGATTAGAATACAGACACTGACCCAAAGACGATATCTTGTTAAAAAAATAATGTAGAAGGGGTAACTGCAAGAGTTAAAACTTTAGAGGGTCATTGATACAATTTAGATTTGCCTCTTTGGGAGCACAGAGCAAATGAAAAAAATCACAAAATAATAGAGTAAAATCAGGAACATTGAAAGGAAATCAGCATGGCTATGTGCCAAGGTATAAGGTATTACTAAAAGCAAGAAAATTTCCTTACAAACAAAAAAAAACCCATGGCGTCCTTCTAATGAGGATTCTGAACTCTAGCAGTACAGATGCCAAAACTGTGCAAGGAACAATTTGTAAAGTGTATTAAAAAAACCTTCAAAACTTTTTTTAACTCATTAAGGTTAGCGTCTAAAGGACACAGAGATGACCCAGATATAATAGAACGCCCTAGAGAAATCAACCATGGTCAAACACCCAAGTGAGTCTCTTCATGTCTGCAATTACCATTAAGTAGCTTGAAGAAGTTCCAGTTCTAGACCTGCTCCCTCTTGTCCACTCCCTTTTTTTCTCAGTATAAGACACAGAGGATCTCTCTCCATGTGCAAACTTTGGCAGAAGGGCTATAGAACAATGAAGAAACTCTAGGGGAGGTGACCAAGCGGTAAATGGATAGAACAAGCTGTAGCAATTGGCCAGGACCTAACTGCATTCACTCCAGGGTTCTCAAGAAACTCTGAGATAAAATAGTTGAACTGCTGCCAGTGGTGTGCACCCTCTCACCTGCTGCCAGAAGGAAGGGAAGGTAGAGATGTGATGACAGTATTTGTAAGAGGTGCCAGGGAGGTCGGGCCACCACAGATCAGGGATTCCCAACTGACAGGAAAATTGTTCAGTGCTATCAAGAATAGCCCCATTGAGCACCTGGGTCACTGCAGTGTTTTGGAGAAGACAGCCTGGATTTTGTAAAGGAAATTATGTTCACCTATTGTCACTCTTTCAAAAGAAAAACAGCCCAGACCTCCTTATCCACATTCTTGGAAGAGGAGGAGAAGGAGAAAAAGAAGGAGGATGAGGATGAGGAGGAGAAAGATGAGGAGAAGGAGGAGAAGGTCAAGGTCATTTGGAACAAGATGCAAACCCAAACATACATCTGGGAGCCTGGGTACATCTATACCCTGAGTGCTGCAGGAAGTTCTCTCAAAGATGGTAAAGGAAAAATGAATAAGTTTCTTTGAAAGACAGTCAAATGTATGGAGCAGCTTTCAAGTGGGGAAAATAACTAGTCACTAAGACTCTTCAGTCTAACAAAAAAATACCCCCAAACCCCACAAAACTGCATTGCCTATAAAGCTGCAAGTGTTTTAGAAGAAGCAAGTAGGAATATTTCCCATCATTTCCAATACATGCAAATGGGCTATCAAGGGACACTAGCAAGTCTCAAGTTCAAAACCAAAACAAAGTGATCCCCACAGAGCTTGGACAGAAGATGATGCACTCCTTGTTGAATGACATTATAGATGCTAAAAAGATTCCTTGGGCTCAAAAAAGCACCTGGAAAGTTTGATCGAAGAGAAATCCATCACAACCCATTACATACAAGTCACCATCTCTGGTTCAGAGTTCCCCCATGTCATTTCTGCCTGTGGCTAAAAATGTGTTCTGGGAATTATTCCTCTTGGCTTACCTTGACCTTATCGTCTCCTCTAAGCATCAGCTGCTGAAGGCAGGAAACTTGGCTATGGGTACCTTTGTTCTGGCCAAGAAAAGCCTTTCTTTTTCTCTGATTACCATTGCCAGGTAGGAAACACAGTACAGGCCTGTTTGAGGAGGAAAAATAGAGAAATGTGTAAGTGCAATTCAAGAAATCTTATCCAAATGCAAGACAAAAGATGTCACTGCATCTGTGTATAAAACACCATCCTAGCAGTTTGTTTGTATTTTTAATCAGACCCATTTTCCCCTTTCACTTCGGTGTCTCAAAACCGTTACTGAATTTCAGATAGGAGGCTAACCACTGGAACCAGGTACAGGTGCACTTTTTACCAAAATGGGTCAGTAACAAGCACCAAGAAGGCTAGAAGATGAGTTGTATTAATTATTCCTTCCAGTGGCAACCATATCCAGAAGATGTCACCAAAACACAAGTAGTGCTCAGAGTTCCTAGAACAAGGAACATAAATGTAAGGACTTCAGATTTTAATAAGAACCACAGAAAAATAAAGAAAGACATTGAAAGAACACCTCAAAATAAAAATTATTCTTTTTCAGGAAGAATATTGAACCCTCATATTGTTACAGCAAGGAGGGGGGTATATAGATGATATGATGTACAAACAGCAAGTAATGCTGACAAAATAAAATGACACTGTTTTGAGCAGAGACCATATTCTTGTCAAAATTCTTTCCTTAAATTAACAAAGCACAGGCATAGCAACCAGAAACCTGATGGCTTTATTTTTCCATCCTCACTGAGTCCCTTTGCTATTTGTCTTATCTGCTTCCTCCTTATCAATACCCTACTGCTTTCGGGGACTTGCATATTAACAACCTGCTTCTATCTCAGCCTGTGTCTCTGTCCTGTTGGGAAGTATATCCGCACACATACTGAATCAATAGCTAATTGCTGCACTGTAGAGATCAGCTTCATGCTTCAGAAGATCATGTTCACCAAGTCCTTTCCTTTTGTACTTGCACTGTGAATTTTAAAGCAATGAAGATCATCTTTGTCTGACTGCAAACAAAAATTGAGCAAAGAAGAAAAACAAAAGCATCAAGTGCAGCAACTCAAACATTAGTGCACAAAAATTCAGATTATTCCTGTGGCACCTGCTGTGTGATAGCTGAACCCAAGTCACAACGAAAATTAGGTGGTTGGTTAAGGTCAAATCAGCACCTGGAGCAAAGTCTCTTGGTGTTTCTGAGAGTTTGGTTTAGCGTGGCAGAAACATTGCCACTGCTGCAATCTCAAGCAGATCAGCATCAGCAGCTGCCAGGTAAATACCATTTCACTTCTTTGTGACAGCTGAGTGCAGGTACAGACCAGCATGGCTTGTGTTGACTAACACACCG